GGCTGAGGAGGCAGCAAGGAGCAGTTGTGAGGCTGGGGGACAAAAACCAGAGGAGGCCCAACTCAGTCCATCCCTTTACTCCCCCCCACCCCACGCAGCAGCGGGTGGGCGCGGGCCCCACATAAGGCACAGAGAGGGGGACCCCGGGTGCTGTGGCACTCTCCAGCCCCGCTCAGGCCCCGCCTCGGTCCGTGAGCTCTGGGGGCTCAGCCCCCTTCCTCCATCCTCCTGGCCGCCGCTCTGCGGCAAGGGAGGATCACCCAGCCATCCTTGGGGCATGGTGCAGCCGCCTGCCCCGCTGTGGGACCTCAGGGTCCTCTGCAGTGTAGGGGAGGACCTGGGGACATCACTAGGGGCTGTGGTTGAGGGTCACCTCGCTGAGCTTGTCCCCCAGCTTCTGGATCTGCTGGGTGGAGGCGGTGTCAGGCAGCAGCACCTCCACGGTGTAGCTCACCTTCTTGGCGTGGAGGTAGCTGTAGGTGTTGTCGAAGCGCAGGACGTCTGCGAGAAGACGGCGGGGGGTGTCAGGGACACGGGGAGCAGCGGGGGGAGTCCCCCCAGCACCCCAGGGAAGGGGGACGTGCTCACAGATGCCGGGCGTGGAGCAGGTGAGGGAGCCGTCCTCGGGCACCATGTGGGAGTTGTAGCGTTGGTTGGGGTAGACCTCGGTCATCTCACCCGCCCGCTGCCGCTCGCCGACCTTGGTCTTCAGGTACACCCCGAAACCCACGTCGGCCCCCTCCGACCTGAACTGCCACCTGTGCCACAAAGAGCCAGCAGGGTTGGGGACACCCATCATTTGTCTGTCTGTGTGTGTGCGTGTCCCCTTCCCCGTGGCACGGAGCCCCCTCCTCACCTGAGGACGCAGCCGGGGAAGAGGATCTCGTACTCGACCTGGTGGGACGAGCCGCGGTTCACCACCACCGTGTGCTCGTACTGCTGCGTCAGCTGGTCCCGCACGTAGTAGTGCTGGGGCACGTCTCCCCCGTAGTTGATCTGGAAGGGGATGGAGATGGACATGGGTATGGGGGCACCACCTGTGCACCCCCAAGAAAGCTGAGGGGGACTTCTCCTACCTTGCTCGGGCACTTGGGGTCCCCATCCGGGTCCGTCAGGGTGCCCCCGTACTCCACTGGGATCTGATCCGGGTCAATGTACTTCTGCAGGACCTCCTTCCAGTTGGCTGGTGGGGGGGAGGGCAGCTGGGTTTGGGGGTGCTGTGACCCTTGTGGGGAGCCCGAGCTCAGCCGGGGACCCCCTCGAGGGCTGGGGTTTCACCCCTGGGTGGGATGAAAGTGGAGGGGGACGTGGGACCCCACTTTTGGACACCCCGGGGAGCGGGACAGGACTCACATCCCAGGACCACGACCTTCTTGCGGGTGTCCTCGCTCAGGAAGTGCTTGACGAGGTTGTAGGCCACGGGGAAGATCTTGGGAGCTGGAGGGTAGGTGGGGGGTGTTAGGGTGGGGGTCAGTACCCAGGTGGGGGGAGTGGGACCTCGGGGCTGAACTCACCCTTCACAACAAACAGGCGCTTGAGGCACTCGGGGTAATTCTCCTCAAACATGGACAGGAGCTGTGGGACAGGGAGAGCTTCAGACCATCCTCCTGCCCCACGTACCCACTAGGGCATCGGGGGAGCACGGTGGGGTGCAGGCCAGGACCCTCGCCCCAAAACAGTGAAGGGGTTACAGGGCACCAGCAGGGACCTGCTCTTACACCA